CCTGTTGTATTTAGTCTAAACTTAGCTTGAGTCTCTAGGTGGTACAAACAGTTAACATATGTGGCTGCTAACTGAAAGCTTGAAGGTTCAAGTCCATCCAGAGATGCCTCACAAGAAAGGCCTGGAAATCTACTTCTGAAAATCAGCCTTTGAAAACCCTTTAAAGCACAATTATATTCTGTCAAACAAGGGACCACCATGAGTTGGAATTGACTTGACAGCAACTTTTCTTTTTTAAGCTTAGCCTAATTCCTATCACAATATCTAGCATATAATGTTGCTGTTGTTGTTATTGTTGTTATGTGCCATCAAGTCAGACCCAACTCACAGTGACCCCTCCTTGGGTTTCCGAGGTGGTATCACTACAGAAGTAGATAGCCCAACCTTCCTTCCAAGGAGTGGCTGGTGGGTCTGACTGCAAGCTTTCTGGTTAGCAATCAAATGCCTTAGGCTACCAGACCTCCTAATCCTACAGCACCTGGTATTCCCAGGCGGTCTCCCATCCAAGTACTAACCAGGCGTGACCCTGCTTAGCTTCCAAGATCAGACAAGATTGTGCACATTCAATAAATATTTCTTGAATTAATGTATTATATGGTCATATTTGCCAAATAATTTAGCAGGAATACCTTATACCTAACAGGATTTCAAAGAATGGTGCCTAAATATGGTAACTCTGAATTGAATGGACTAAAACTAGGGGCCCAAGGACACTAAGGATGCAATGTAAACATTCAGGAGTAAATCCTGCATAAAGAAGAGGGTCTCTACACAAGCCCCAAAGACAATGGACCCAAGCATGTTTTAGGAACAATGAGAAACTCCTGTTTGAAATTTATACTTAAATAATAAGGTTATTATCAGAAGACCCATTTTTCTTTTTTTCACCCAAGAGAACAGACGAGCCTTTATTCACATAAATTTTAATTTAAAACCATACAAACAAGATGACAGAGAAAATGGCATTACAGATTTCTACCTAAACTTTGTCCCTCACTATCTGCTGAAGTATTTTTCTTAGAGATTTCTGCCTCCAAATGTATTTGTTAAGGGGAACCTTTACCACTACGCTAGATTTCTAGTAACACAATCTGAGGCACTGAAGATCTAGGACCCCTGGCAGTCTGTGTGAGAATGGGATTTCTCATTATCCACCCTGAGATGTCATGGAAGGATTCATTGGAGTGAACCCATGTCCTAGAAAAACCTCAGTAAATAGTGGTACCCTCCCAACACATGTGGTAATCAAGGCTTCAGATGTGAACACATGTCCTCAAAATATAGTGGACATTTTGCCAAGGGAGAAAATACCATTTATAAGAGCAATTGGGAATATGTTTTCCAAAATGGTCTCTTAGAGCCAGCTACTCCAAGGGAGTGAGTAGTTGGACCTGTGGTCTTGGGACCATGGTTGGAGGAGACATCAAACTCAGTTGGCATAACATACTACACAAAAAAATTATTCTACATCCTACCTTGGTGAGTAGTGACTGGGGTCTTAAAAGCTTGCAAGTGGCCATCTAGATGCAACAATGGGTCTCTCCTCATCCAGAGCAAAGAAACATGAGGAAAGCCAAAGACACATGGAAACAATTATTCCAAGGAACTAGTAGACCATGTGATCCTCAGCCTGTATGACCATGAGACCAGAAGAACTAGATGATACCCGGTTACCACTGTCAACCACTCAGAGGAGGATTGGTGCAGGAGATCCTGGATAGAGTGAGAGAATAATGTGGAACAAAACTCAAAATCATAAAAAAGAAAGACCAGGTTTGCTGGTCTGATAGAGGCTGGTAAGACCCCTGAGGCTATGGGCCCTACTTACCCTTCAGTTCTGGAATTGAACTCATTCCTGTGGCTACCAGCCAAACAATAGACAGGCATAGGTGACATTTACATCAGGTAGATACACTCCTTGGAGTGATCAAATGTGGGAGAACAGAAGGGTAGTGTTTGCACAAGGACATAGCTTGGGGGTGAGAGTGCATGGGAGGAAAGGACACAGGCAAGAGGTAACAATGGCAAGGAAGTGGGAAGAGAGCTGTTACACTGTGGGAAATTACAGTCAATGTCATGAAACAAAATGTGTATGAACTGGTGGATAGAAAATGAATTTACTCTGTAAACTTTCTCCCAAATCACAACAAATTATTTATTTTTTTTAAGTCTCTTGGTTGGCCACATTTTCATTGACTTGGAAATGACCATCATCGTAGCTTCATTCTCTACCTAAGGAATTGAAAATCAAGGTTAAGTGTGCAAAAGTGGCTCTCAGAACAATTTTCAAAGGCATGACGTGTAAGCTCCAACTCTGCCCTATTATGCCCTTACTTCCAAACTCCAAAATCCTTTACAAGTATCCTGAGCCCTAAAGAGTCTTCTTTGATCTTATTTCCCCAAACCAAACTTAATTGCCCCTTCCCCGGGTCTCCCAGTAACACTTAGATTACATTGATTTGTTCACAGGATTTCTCATGTTGTAACCAGTCTGTCTCTTAGACATAGTTTGTTTCCTTGGGGGCAAGTGCCGTGTCTTACTCTCTTTTGTATCCCAGAAATCTAACAGGCCTGAAGTTGCTCATAATCAAATCCATCCCATTCACATCTCCATTGCAGAGAGAAAGAGAATGCTTTGCAAGTTGTTTACACAAGGAACTCATTTAACAAGTATTTCCTGAATGACTATTATATGCCAGGCACTGTCCAAGAGACTAGAGATACCAATAAATAAGTCAGCAAGGTCCCTGCTCTCTAGGAGACAATAAGCAAATAAATGATTTTGGATAGTAATAAGTAATAATAATAATAAAGAATAATGGGCAATGGGACAAAGAACAATTTGGAGAAATGACAAGGTGGTCAGGGAAGTTCTCTCTTTTGCACTCATTTCCTAAATGATGAGAAGGAGTCAGCCACGAAAGGCCTGCCTGGTAAGGAGAGCCCAAGGAGGATGCACTAAACTAAATAAAACGTTGTTTGTTTTTCCTAGGTTTTAGGCAGCTTGAGGAGGATAGTGGAAGAAGATGGTGGACTTGGTTAATTACTAATTTTCTCCCCTCCATCCATATCAGGGAAGCTCCGGTGGCATAGTGCCTAAGGCATTTGACTACTAACCAGAAGGATGGTGGCTCAAACCCACCAGCTTCTCCTAGGAAGTAAGGTTGGGCAGTCTACTTCAGTAGTGATACCACCTCAGAAACCCAAGGAGGGGTCTCTATGAGTCAGATCCAACTCAACGGCTGCGTGTTTGGTTTTGGTTTGGTCTATATCAGAGCAGAGGAGCTCTGCTGGCATAGTGCCTAAGGCACTTGACTGCTAACCAGAAGGATGCGGTTCAAACCTAACAGCCTCTCCTTGGAAGGAAGATGGGGCAATCTACTTCCATAGTGATACTGTCTTGGAAACCCAAGGAGGGGTCTCTATGAGTCGGGTCCAACTCGACGGCACAAAACAACAACACATCTGAGCAGAGAGCCACCTTTTCCCCTCATTTTGCAGGCTTTTTATTTATTTATTTTTGCAGTATTTCCTCCCCTCCCTTCCCATCCCTGGTAACAAATAAAGAAAGTTTCCTTCCATTTATAAACCTTTCCTTGACTTTTTACAATAATGAACGAATACAATATTTGTCCTTCTGTGATTGACTTCTTTTACTCAGCATAATGTGCTCCAAGTTCATTCACGTTATATGGTGTTTTTTGCAGGCTCTTTTTATTACCATTTCCAATTTCTTAATTCTGCTCCCTGATTTACATTAAATTACAACATAAGCCTCTGCCAACAACAAAAGTATCCGGAAGGAACCCTTTTCTAACACTGAATCATATAAAACACCAAACTAAAAGCAGTTGGAAGATAGAGACTGAGAATATTAACATTTAGTTTCCATGACTTGTTGTTGTTGTTGTTATGTGCCATCGAGTCAGACCTGACTCATAGCGACCCCTCCTTGGGTTTCCGAGGCAGTATCACTACAGAAGTAGGATTGCCCAACCTTCCATTACTAGGCCCATTCAAATAATGTGTAATTTTACCACCATTACATTGCATTGTCATTACTGATCTTAGTCATAGACTATTATAAACTCGACTGTCATTTGCTCCTTTCCATATTATCTCGTTATTATTGCTGTGTGCCATTGAGTCAATTCTGACTTATAGTGAATCTTTAAGGCAGAATCGAATTGCCCTTTAGGGTTTCCTAGGCTGAAATATTTATGGAGCTGATGGCCAGGCCTCTACTCCCACAGACCAGCTGGTGAGTTTGAACTACTGACATTTTAGTTAGTACCACATGTTTAACCATTGTGCAACCAGGGCTCCTTTATAACATATCATATGAAGCCCTATTTTGAGGTAAATAGCTTTAGCACAACTGTATATTTAACGATACACTAACATTAAAAAAATAAAAAAAGTAAACTTGTATCGAAATTACATTTTCCAAGACAACCATAAATGTGCCCCAGTAAGTAACTACATGGGAGTCCCTGGGTTGCACAAATGGTTAGGTGGTAGACTACCAGCTGAAAGGTTGAGGGTTCTAACCCACCCAGAGACTCTTCAGAAGATAGGCCTGCTTCTGAAAGTCACAGCCTTGAAAACCCTATTGAGCCGTTTTACTCTGTACAAATAGGGTCACCATGGGTCAGTACCAACTCAACAGCAACTAACAGCAACAAGTAACTAACTACATGACTTATTTTAATACTACTAAGTTTGAATTTTTCTCATCATTCTCATCATCTACTTCTTTGTTTTTGGTCATCAAGAACTGTAGTCAATTCAGAAAAAGACGAAGAAGCTATTTTCTACACCATGACCAGACTGTCCAGATGTCATGCCTGGAATATATCAAAAGTGACATTTCTAGTCATGTTTCCAATCATTGGGAACATACAGATTTTCCTCTGCAATCTGCAAAATTTCTGGATTCTCTGAGCCATGCTGTCAACAAGAACAGTTCAGAAAAGGAGTCACACCAAACATAACTCTACCTGATGTCATCTTCTGTTCCAACACAAGGCATTTACAATCTTCTTGGGACTCTTCTTCTTCCTACATTCCAGCCCCATAAATCAGAAAAACAGGGAGATTTAAAAAAAGAAAATGCATTAATTTATAGCAACATTTTTTCTAAATTTACTAATCCCACTAATTGCAACCTTCTAATCTGATGATATGGGAGCTCTGGTAGCGTAGTGCCTAAGGCACTTGACTGCTAAGCAGAAGGCTGGTGATTCAAACCCACCAGCCACTCCTTGGAAGGAACATTGGGCAATCTACTTCCGTAATTATACCATCTCAGAAACCCAAGGAGGGGTTGCTATGAGTCGGGTCCGACTCGACGGTACATAACAACAACAACCTGGTGGTATAATGGTTAAACACTTGGCTGTTAACCAAAGGACTGGTGGTTCAAACCCATGTATCATCTCCACAGAAAATAGACCTGGCAACCTGTTCCCATAAAGATTACAGCTTAGAAAACCCTAAGCGGGCAGTTCTACTCTGAAACACATGAGGTATCCATGAGTCCGAAACAGAATCGACAGCAATTGGAAAAAAAAAGAAGTTCAGATCAAGTCCTTAAAAAAAGGGGGGGGGGGGCTTTTAACAATTTTTTTTAATAAGGCTTTTAACAAGCAAAAAATTCAACAATCAATGTTGAGTAGAGTAACTATGAGGGTGCTGGTTTATACAACTTCAGGGTACAATTCACAGGGGAGTGTCTATGAATGTTAGCCCTGGTGTAGCATAACTCAGTGGCCTTCTGTGATTAATATTATACTTAGAGGTTCCAATTACTTAGACATGGTAGTGGTGTGTCCCTCCATGAGAGAAAAATTCTGCCAGTATTGCAGAGCAAAGAGAATTGTTTTATATTACACAATTCAAGAAGTGGATTTCATGTTCTTTTGAAAGTTCACAGTTTTTTTAATCTCTGGGAAACTGGGGAACACCTTCCTCTTTGAGTTCTGGTGTGATGTTCTCTAAGCTAGTAAGTGCTATCACTGCTAAAGCACTAATGAGAGTAATCCAGGCTAAGAGTAAGGAAGGTAAATCAAGAAACCAAAAAAACCAAACTCTGCCATCGAGTCGGATCCGACTCAAAGCGACCCCTCCTTGGGTTTCCAAGGCGGTATCACTATGGAAGTAGATCTCCCAATCTTCCTTCTGAGGAGATATCAATCAATAGGAATGTCTAAATGGTGCTTTTCTAATTTTGTCAGCAAGATGACTTTAGACTGATCCATTCCATTCTTTCTTTCTTTTCTTCACTGAATAAATATTTGCTGAATACCTATTATGGGCCATTTCTGTGGGACTTTAATCTTTAGACAAGGTTCCTTCTAGCCTATACAGCTTCCTTTGTAGCCTGCTGCACTTTATGTGCATAATTTGTTCTTCCTAAAAATGTAGCCCAACAGAAGAGGTCCCAGAGCATAAAGTGTGAGAGTGTGAGGTTCCATAAATGATAACTGAGGCTACTATGCAACCAAAGTAGAACAATGGAACTTAAAAACTAGTGTTATCCATCACAGGGACAGTTCCAAATTTGCTCCAAGTTTGCCACTCCCTGAGTGTTTTAGTTTTCTAGTCCTGCAATAGCAGAAATACTGTAAGTGGATGGCTTCGATAAACAAAAATTTATTTTCTCATGGTTTAGGAGGCTAGAAGTCTGAATTCAGACTGCTAGATCTGGGGGAAGTCTTTCAGCTTCAGAGAAATCTGTCAGCTCTGGAGGAAGATTCTTGTCTCCTTGAGCTTCTGCTCCTGGGAGATCATCATGTGGCTTGAGAACTCTCATCCTCCATCTCTGTTCTGCTTGATTGTGTAATCTCTTATATCTCAAAAGAGACTGACTCAAGATACACCCAACACTGATCTTATTTCATTAACATAACAAAGACAGCCCATTCCCAAATAAGATTGTAATCACAGGCATAGAGACTACATATCACAACACATAGTTTTTTGAGACACAATTCAATCCATAACACTCAAGCTTTGGTCCCCCAAAATTCATGTCCTTGCCATATGCAAAACTCATTCATCACAACACATCATCCCCAAAATCTTAAATCAACTCCAAGTCCAAAATCTCATATTCTGAAACATCTAAATTGAATATGGATGAGAGTTTAGGCATATTGTAGCCTATGGCAAAATTCCTCTGCATTTGTGAATCAGAGAAATCTAGACTACACGTTGTCTGTTTCCAAAGTACAATAGTACGAGGTAGACATTTCCATTGCAAATGGAAGAAATTGGAGGGTGGAAAAAGAATAATGGGCACAAAGCAAGTGCAAAATCCATCAGAACAATTCACATTAGCTCTCAGACCTGAAAATAATGCTCTGTTCTCTGAGACCGTGTAGGAAAGGGCCCTGCCCTCCAGACTCTGGGTGTTGGCCACGCTTTCTGGATTCTAGGTGGAGGCCCCTTGGCCATGGGCTTCAGCTCTGCCTTCTAGGCAACTCTGCTTCCTCAGTTTTGGGCAGCCCCATTCTCCTAGTCCATTTGAATGACAACCCCACTCCATTGATCCCACTCTTCTGCCCCTTGAGCATGGCAGCCCCACCCACTCAGCTTTGGGTGGTGGCCCCATCCCCCTGGCAATAGTGGACAGGAGCCCACACTCCAGAACTGGGTTGGTGAAGATCTGACTCTGAAATCTAGGAGGCCGTGGCCTCACCCTTTGAAGAGACGGTTGCTCCTTTGGCCTGTTTCCTGCCTGTAGAATTCCAAGAGAAATTCTCCTTTCATTCTTTCTCTAGCTCCTTCAGTCTAAACTGATGTTTTTTTTCTGTAGTAGTTGGTTAGATCCAATAGTTGCAGGCTTAATCTCTTTAAAAAAAAAATTGTGTGGTCAAGTCCTTGGTGAACATTCTAGGACATGTGTCCTTAGTTTTACAACAGAATTTTCCAAATCTTTAAGTTCTGTTTTCAGTTTGCACAGTTCATTTTTAAGTCTATCTTTTTCCTCTCACATGTTACTATAAGTAGCAAGGAGAAACTACATGGCTCCTTTAAGATCTTGCTTAGAAATCTCATCAGCCAGATACTCAAGCTCATCACTTACAAGTTCTATCTTCCACCAAACATTTGAACATATTTGAGACAGTTCTTTGCCACTGAATAAAAAGCACTACCCTTTCTCCATTATCCAATCACATGTTTATCATTTTCTTTTAAAGCCTCACCAGAGCACATTTAAAGTCCATATTTCTAGTAACATTCTGTTGCTGGTGCTATGTGTATTTTCTAAGATGACAGAGACATTCTTTATAGCTCTCCTCACTTCTTTCTGAGCTCTCACCAGAACTGCCTTTGATATCCATAATTCTACCAACATAATTCACTTTAAGGCAATCTAGGCACCTTAAAACTCTTCCAGCCTCTACCCACCCCCCAATTCCAAAGCACTTCCACATTGTAGATATTAGAGCAGCACCCTTACTTCTTGGTACCAAATTCTGTTTTAGTTATCTGGTGCTGCTACAACAAAAATACCTCAAGTGGATGGCTTTAATAAACAGAAATTAATTTTCTCACAGTTCAGAAGTTTAGAAGTCCAAGTTCAGAGTGCCTGCTCTAGAGGAGGTTTTCTCTCTTATTGGCTCTGATGGAAGATCCTTGTTCCTTCGTGATCTTCATGTGGCATGGTGTCTGTCTTCTCCCATCTCTGCTTCTTTCTCTTGCTTGTTTAATTTCTTTTATATTGCAAAAGAGATTGACTCAAAATGCACTCTACCTAATCCTGTCTCAATAACCTAACAAAGGCAACTCATTTGCAAATGAGATAATAAGAACAGGCATAGAGGTTAGGTTTTACAACATGTATTTTTGAGGGACATAATTCAATCTACAACACTAAGTAATACCTCATCTGGATGAGAATCCACTAGACTCTCAAGCTTGCTTAGCAAGATAAGAAAATATCCTTTTCAACTCATAAATATTTGTTTCGTTAAATTACCATCAGTATCAACTCATACGTGAATTGATTTCACCTGTGTTGGGAACAAACATATTTTCTAGAAATCAGAAATCACCTTCAAATGTACATCATCAGGGACCAGTTCTAGAAAAATTTCCTACTTCTAAATATTATTGGCATGAGAAATTTGGCTAAACAAGCCCTCAATCCTCTTATCTCAAATTTATATAAGAAATTTTACTGAAATTGCTTTCAAAATTATGTTTCCAAAAAGAGTAAATTAGTAGTATCCCAAAAGACAGGTAAACTATAGAAAATCACCCACACAGCAACTAAATGGAGTGAATAATTTCTTGTTTCACAAGACCCAACAGGACAGTGTATAATGAAACCATGAGAAGTTATTTTATGAGAAAATCTCTTGAGACACCAAAAATGTCCAAATAAAGTTGTTACGTAAATGAAAGGATTTCCTCTTTGACCCAATAAGAGTCTTTACTGTTTTATAGCTCTAAATTCCAGAATTATGAAATAACTTAGCCCTTAGCTTTCCTCCAAATGTATTTATTACTTCATTTTAAATTGCCCATCCTCAAATTTTTTTCACTAACTAGTAAAAGTTGAAAAATGCTGTAACCATCTGCAGAAAGAAAAATGTTTGAGATCCTCTTGGCTGGAGGGCTCTCATCATAGAATAAACAAGCATCTGTCTTCCATAGTATAAACTATGTTCTATTTAAAGAGGCTACACTCATTAGACTGTGTTTCTTCTCTTCAGTGCAAGTCTGTGATTTGCTGAATTTGTTCTTTTTCCCAGAAAAGCTAGAGTAAAATGACAACAGTCCAACTGCTGTGGACCTCTTGATTATGCTGCCTTGCATTCACTCACTCTCTATGTAGTAAGATTTCTATGTAGTAAGATTTATTTCCTCTTTGAAGCCATCCCCTCCCACTCTCATTGAATCACGGTTTCTTGGAAACTGACCCCACCACCATCATTACAGGGGTGGCACCTGTGACCCAGGCCTACACCTATCTGAATACTACATTTCCCTAGACTCATGGCTAGTACACAGGGTGGTCATGTGACCCAATCAGGGTTCATGAATGATAA